AGCCAGGGAGGGGTTGATGTAGAAAATTTCCTTTTTGGGCGAAAAGCGTAGTATCCCAAAAAGGAAGGTCATCGGCGGAACCTTTGATCCCTATATCCAAATTGTAGAGCTCATCAAGGGCTACAAGAGTCATCTATAGCATTTTGTGATTGGTAGCCCCGTTGGCCCGCAAAATGCAAAATACTTTCCGAGAGCCGGCGCTTTTCAAACCAATATTCACATTTAAAGCAACCAGGCATCAATTGCAACCCAATACAGGCAGCTATAGCACCCTAATACAGACAGCCATCAATTTTAAGGCAATGGCCGGGCTCATCAATCCCAACCCAATACGGACAGCCATCAATTTCACGGCAATGGCCGCATTTTAATTAATATTGTTTAAATGCTATTTATTTGCATCTGCGGCAACTTGCCGAAAGTGCCATCAGTGCTGTAGAAAGGCAGCGGCACAACTGTGTGGCTGTGTGGCAAGATCCACAATATAACGCATTAGACCCGTGGGCTACACCCACGAGTTAACCTGTTATCCTGACCATATGAGCTGGGGGAACGTGCAGGCGTATTGGGTCAACCGCTGGGAGGCGACGATGGGCGGGTACCGGGGGCGGGAGCGCGCGTGGAAGCAAGAGAGGGGCAGGGGGACCAAAACGGGCGCAGCGTGGGCGCCTGGACAGCCAGGGACCTGAAAATGCAGGGGAACATGCGGGCGTGTTGGGTCAACCGCTGGGAGGCGACGATGGGCGGGTACCGGGGGCGGGAGCGTGCGCGGAAGCAAGAGAGGGGCGGGGGGACCAAAACGGGCGCAGCGTGGGCGCCTGGACAGCCAGGGACCCGAAAATGCAGGGGAACGTGTGGGCGTATTGGGTCGACCGCTGGGAAGCGTCGATGGGCGGGCACCGGGGGCGGGAGCGCGCGCAGAAGCAAGAGAGGGGCGGGGGCACCAAAACAGGCGCAGCAGGTGCCCCAGGGCAGCCAGGGACCCAAAAATGCAGGGGAACGTGCGGACGTATTGGGTCAACCGCTGGGAGGCGTCGATGGGCGGGTACCGGGGGCGGGAGCGCGCGCGGAAACAAGAGAGGGGCGGGGGCACCAAAACAGGCGCAGCGTGGGCGCCTGGACAGCCAGGGACCTGAAAATGCAGGGGAACGTGCGGGCGTATTGGGTCAACCGCTGGGAGGCGACGATGGGCGGGTACCGGGGACGGGAGCGCGCGTGGAAGCAAGAGAGGGGCAAGGGGACCAAAACAGGCGCAGCGTGCGCGCCTGGACAGCCAGCGACCCGAAAATGCAGGGGAACCTGCGGGTGTATTGGGTCGACCGCTGGGAAGCGTTGCCGGGCGGGCACCGGGGGCGGGAGCGCGCGTGGAAGCAAGAGAGGGGCAAGGGGACCAAAACAGGCGCAGCGTGCGCGCCTGGACAGCCAGCGACCCGAAAATGCAGGGGAACGTGCGGGTGTATTGGGTCGACCGCTGGGAAGCGTCGCCGGGCGGGCACCGGGGGTGGGAGCGCGCGTGGAAGCAAGAGAGGGGCGAGGGAACCAAAACAGGCGCAGCGTGCGCGCCTGGACAGCCAGGGACCCGAAAATGTAGGGGAACGTGCGGGCGTATTGGGTCGACCGCTGGGAAGCGTCGACGGGCGGGTACCGGGGGCGGGAGCGTGCGCGGAAGCAAGAGAAGGGCGGGGGCACCAAAACAGGCGCAGCGAGTGCCCCAGGGCAGCCAGGGACCCAAAAATGCAGGGAACGTGCGGGCGTATTGGTTCAACCGCTGGGAGGCGTCGATGGGCGGGTACCGGGGGCGGGAGCGCGCGCGGAAGCAAGAGAGGGGCGGGGGCACCAAAACAGGTGCAGTGTGCGCGCCTGGACAGCCAGGGAGCTGGTAAACGGGGTGGAAGTATGGGACACAGGGCTGAATGCGAGGTCACTGTGACAGGCAGATACGGGGACCAGGAGGGCGCGTGAAGGCTGGGGAGGGGCTGGGAGCGCAAACGAGATGCCGTGCGTTGTGGGCGTATTGGGATGCTACGGAAGCATAATAGCGACGGGATTACATAGGAGAAACACTCGGCGGAGTCTCAAAGGCAACAGGCTAAAGAGAGCCCGGTGGTAGTGGTAAGGGTGCTGGCAGAGGAGGAAGGAAGGGAATGAACAACAGGAACAAACAACGTGCATCACCTGCTAATTACTGCAACATCGTGTTGCTCATTATGCAACAATGCGGGCTCCTGACATCGTATGAAGCTAAGTAACACCTATATTACATCCATACTACATATGCTGACAATCCCCATTCCGCGGGAGGTACAGGTGGAAAGTACCTAAAACGGCAAGGCGGGGGGCGTATAGCCACCCGACAGCGCTCCGACGTTCAAATGTCGGTCCAACGCCGCCGTGTGATGGGAAAGCGTGCGGGTAGTAGGCCTACTGAAAAGAGGTAGGCCTCTAACGCGATATATCGTGAGCCTTCTGAGTAGAGCCTTTGATACATCGCATTTTCCTTCTAATCAGAGCCTCGCGATGTATCAAAACCCCAGATACGCCTGTCCTCTACCCCACATCTTATTTCCCCTTTTCTTGATTCTTTTGCCTATAAATACGGTCCGAACTTGTCTAGTTAGTTGTTCAATCAACTCCGTCAAAACCTAATTACTGAGTTCCATCTCTGATTCCCTCCGACTTGTCCTTCCGACGCGACTCGGTTCTCACAAGTAGCACTTTGCAACATTCCAGTTAGACTATTCGTCGATGAGCGCAATTGCACTGAGACACCGGGTCAACCTCACTACTAGTAGTATGCCCCATTGAACCTTTTTCAGCGTTCACCCGAGGGATATTTCTGCTAGCCGAGAATTACCAAAAGAAAATGCAGAATATCAGAGCATTCATTCGGACACGGGGAGTCGAACCCCTGTCTGCCTCCAACAATCTTTTTCTTGACATCTCCCATGTGGGGAGGCCGTGTATCATACACCATGTCCGATCCTTTCACTCATTTGAAGCTCGCTAGGTTCGCACTTTTTTCGGCTCAGCCCACTGAGATCGAGCAAAATATAGATGGAGCCCTGGATACCCCAAAGTGTTCAACCTCGCTTATGCTGCCATTGATAATTCCTCGAGTACATTTGCCTCATACTTTCTTGAGAATTGGATGTGGGGATTTGAGCCTATAGAGTAAGATTTGAACAAAAAATGCATGTACCAAACCATACAGTCGGACACGGCGAGTCGAACCCCGCTCTGCCTCCAACAAGTGGCAATTCTTCCATAAGACAGGAGGCGGTGCCCCCTACACCATGCCCGATTCATCGTACTGTTACAAAGGCTGTAGTACTTTGCAACATTCCGGTTCGATTATTCGCCATTGCAAGATGCCAGATGCCCCCCAAAATATTCAACCTCAGTAGTACGCCATTGATATTATGAGACTCCCCATTGAACCTTTTTCCGCGTTCGAAAGTGGGGAGGATTCTGAGAGACGGGCATCGCCAAACAAAAAACTGAATAGATGGCCATTCATTCGGACATGGGGAGTCGAACCCCGATCTGCCTCCAACATGGTTACAAATTCTTCAACAAGACGAGAGGCGGTGTACCCTGCACCATGTCCGATTGCTTTCACTCATTTGAAGCTCGCTAGGTTCGCACTTTTGTTGGATCAGCCCACTCAGATCGAGCAAAATATAACTAGATGGAGCCCTGGATACCCCAAAGTGTTCATCCTCACTTATGCTGCCATGGATATTTCCCCGAAGATATTTGCCTCGTACTTTCTTGAGCATTGGATGTGGGGTTTGAGCATATAGACTAATACCGGAGGAAAAACGAATACACCATCGCAAACATTCGGACACGGGGAGTCGAACCCGGGTCTGCTTCCAACAATCTCGTCTATACCACAACATGTTAGGAGGCCGTATACCATACACCATATCCCACTGTCTCCATCCCTTAGGATCTCAGTTTTCTGCAAAGCCGATGCGGCTCGGACAAACATGGACGGAACATAAGTTGCCCAATTTAAACGATTCAACTCGACTCCCTAAGCTCAGCTCAAGTAAGTTATGAACGGCACTCACGACGAGGCGTGGTTTGAACTCGGTCAGAAAAAGATGGATAGAAATTCACGCCGATGTTTCTTCGATCTGCTGACACAGTGCTGAACAGAGAGAGAAAAACAAAAAGATGAGTCTGCGACAAGTATTCGGACACGGGGAGTCGAACCCCGCTCTGCTTCCAACAATCTGCTTTTGCGTATCACAGTATGTTGGGAGGCCGTGTACCATACACCTTGTCCGATTGCTTTCACTCATTTGAAGCTCGCTAGGTTAGCTATTCTTTTGGTTCAGCCTGCAGAGTAAAATACGGATGACAGCCAACTTCCAAGATACCCCGAAGGTTCAGCCTCTGAATCGTTTATGCCTCCGGGTCCTATTGATATTGAACCTTTTGTCACCCCTGTGTCGTTCACGGCCGTGTATACCATACTAATACACCAAATCTGATTTCTCTACCCCTTGACTATGAGAAGTTCACTATGCTATCAATATTCTGGGGATCAAGCGAAATTATTAGAATAGCCCCACAAAAAATCCAACACCAGCGCAAGCACATCCTTTTTTTCTCTAGATCGCACCCTGCCGTCGAAAAATTGAAGTTGAACAAGGCCTCAAAAAGAATGGCTCATCCATTCGGACACGGGTAGTCGAACCCCGGATAGCCTCTAACAGAGGCACGCGCCGTAGAAATGGAGGCGGTGTACCATACACCATGTCCGATTCCTTGTACTGTTACAAACCTCACTAAGCCGTACTACTTTGCAACATTCCAGTTCGATTATTCGTCAATGAACACAACTTTACTGAGACGTCCGATGCCACCGGGTCAACCTCATTGCTAGTAGTATGCCCCCATTGAACCTTTTTTCGCAATCACAAGTCGGATATTTCTGCGAGCCGGGCATTGCCAAAAAAAAAAAATATGCAGAAACACTATGCCGACCATTCGGACACGGGGAGTCGAACCCCGGTCTGCCTCCAACATGAATGCAAAATCTCCCACAAGCGAGAGGCGGTGTACCCTACACCATGTCCGATTCCTCATACAGTTACAAACCTCACTAGGCTGTACTGTAGTGTGCCACATTCCAGTTGGATTATGCAACAACTACGAATGAACGCAATTGCATGACACCCCAAAAATCTTCAGCCTTACTACGCCAAAGTTGAAGCTTCTTTCCGTATTCACAAGTGGGAGGTTTCTATTCCAAAATAAAGAGAGAGAAAAATGGAGTGATAATGATCCATTCGGACACGGGGAATCGAACCCCGGTCTGCCTCCAACAATCCTGTGTGCCAACGATATGTTGGGAGGCCGTGTACCATACACCATGTCCAATTGCGTTCACTCATTTGAAGCTCGCTAGGTAGCATTTTCTTTTCTTTTTGTGGATCAGCCGACTTGGATCGGGTAAAACACGGACAGCCAACTTCCGAGACACCCGGAAAGATTCAGCCAACAAGTCGAACCCCGGCTGCAGATGGCAGGTAAGAAGTAAGAGGAGTCCATTACATAGAGTCCCGCGACCCATTATACAATACTCGTATGTACAGCTAAGGCTAAGTATCCATATCCCAATCCAGCCGAATCCCACAGGCTAATTAAATCAAACAAGGACCCACGCTCGTCGAACGCAGACCCGCGATCATTTGAACCCGAACCTAGGATCGTCGAACCCGCTACCGAACCCGGGAACGCACTGGGGAGGTTGTCAGTGACTGGCTCGGATCAGAGCGCCGCGCGGGGGTGGGTAAGTCAAGCTATCATCGAGAGAAGGGAGACGGCGAAAAAAAACGGGGTTGGGACAGCAAATGAAGCCAAAAAGCAAGAACACAAATGGAAAACACTCACATCAACGACAACGTAACATCATTCCCATGCACCTTATTCAGATCCAGCCGCAGCTTCAGCGCGTCTTTCTTCTGTCCCCCGCCCCCTCCGAGTAGTCCAGCACCACCACCAGGGCTGAGGACGGAGCTGAGGGTGTTCGAGAGGATTTGGCCCGCTTGGTCCGGGAGTTGTTGTTGTTGTGGCTGTGGTTGGGGAGCGGGAGACTGCGATTGGGATGGGGGAGCCCGCCGCCGGCCCCGATCGCGCCGCCGCGAGGTTCTTGTGATGATTGACGGGGCTGGGAACGCGACGCAGGCGGAGGCGACGCCTCGCGCGAGAGCGGCAGTAACTATGGGCAGCTTATTCCTCGTCTATGGCTACGTCTACCTCCAATGAACCTCAAGCCCGCCTCCCGCTCAAGTCGATTCCCCCTCCAAATCTGCGCGCGCTCGTGCCCGTCGTTTATCTCGCTCCTCCTCCGCCTGTGCCTGCTTCCTCTTCTTCCGGTTTTCCTGCGCCCAAGCCCAAGGCTTCCTCTCGTTCTCGTGCGTCTTCCCCCGTAGAAGACGAGCCTTCCCGCGTAGAAGACGAAGATCCGAATGACACTACAGTCTCCCTTGCCCGCGAAGTTGAAGTCGTGGACGGTGATGGGGCCCCGCCGACTGCGCACCTGCCTCCCCTCTCACCACGGCCTTCGCATGCGGAGCGCGAGCCCACCGTGACGCACCCCCCTACCGCTCCTTTGCCTGCCCCCGCCACGAGCACGAATCCAAATCCGAATCCAAATACGAGCAGGAGGCACAGGAGCGACGCGTACACCCCCTCTGCCCTCCGCCGCCTCCTCGGGCTCCGCGCGTCCTTTTCATCGTCCTCTTCCTCCCAGGAAAAAGGACGTCAGCAAGACGAAGGAGGAGAAGAGCAACACGCACAAGGGGAAGAGCGCAACCTCCGCGCCGAGTCGGCCGCGCTCTTCGTGGCGTGGTGGCGTGCTGGGTGTGCGGATCCGTATACCGATCTCGGTGGGCGTGGGCAGTCCTACGAGGACGAGCACCTGCAGGCGCAGCCGGGGTACGCGAGGGTAGACTCTGCGGAGCGCGGGCGGCGTCGGCGTATGGACGAGGCGCAGGTCCCCCGACTCCGAGTCGCGGTGCGCCTCGCCCCGCTTCTCCGCGTTCTCCCGCCAGCAGCGAGAAGTCCCGCTCCCCGTACCCGTACTCCCCCTACGGTGCACACACCCACGCCCACGCACACCGACCCTCTGCACCTCCCCTCCCTCCTTGCGCTCCTGGGGGGCGTGGTGCGGGCCGCTTTGTCTCCCTCCAGCTCTTCTCCTATTCCTCCAGTGACAATACCGGAAGAAGAAGGGAAAGCCGGAACTGGGGAGGAAGGTGGGGACGCGTGGGCACGTTCGTCGCGGGCGTAATAGTGGGCATTGGGTTGGGGTGTGGGTTTCAGGGTGGTGAGCGCGCGCGGAATTCAAGATGCAAGGTGGGGTGGGACAGGAGAGGAGGGAGGGGGAACGAGACGAGGGAGGGATGGGATGAGGAGGGGAGTAGGAACGAGGTGGAGAAGAGAAAGAGAAAGGGGAAGACGGAGCCGGTGGGGAAGAGGGTGGCGGGGGAGGGTGGTGCGAGCGCAGAATGCATGCCGCGAGGCGGGGGCGGTGATAATAGGGGGCGGAACGAATGAACGAAGATGGGGAGGCGGAGGGGAGTGGGCGGCGGGTGTGGGGCGTGAGGTGGGAGGCGCGAAGCGAGGTGGCGAACAGGGAGGTGGCAGCGACATGGGTGGGCAGGGGGAAGAGCGTGGGACTCTAGATAACGACGACCGCGGGGACGCGGACGCAGGCGGCGGGAGACCGAGGCGACGATGGTGTATGGAGGCGCGTGCGGGGAAGAGAAGGGGGGAGGGAGCTGGGCCGTCTTTCACACCACCAACACCACCAACACCGCCCGCACACCCACCGCACCCCGTACTCCGGTCTCGGTTCTCGGTCCTCCCCGCCCCTTGTCGTTCCTCGTCTTCGTTCCGCGGCTCATCGACGCCGCACCTCACCGGCACCAGTGTCAAGAACAAGGGGAGCAAGGAGCAAGGAGCAAGGAGACCCGGCTGAGTGCTTGATCGTCTGTCACCGCTGCTGCGCGTCTGTGCACATCCCGTCGACTCCGACGCCCACTCCCGCTCCGCGCGCACCGTCCTTCCATCCTTCATACTTCTTGCTCCTGCTCTCCCCCCGCCGCAAGACCGCTTCAAGTTCCGAGTCGTTAGTTCTGGGCAGACCGACAGCTGCACCATCACCGTCGTCGCCTACGGCTACGGCTATCATGATGTCTCCCCGCCCGCCTGCCCACGCCTATGCCTCCCCGCCAGACGTCTACGTCTACGCCTCCCCCAGCGAGCGAGCGAGCGAGCGCGCCCCACCCTATCGTGGAGGAGAATGAGAACTCGTTGCGTGCAAAGGCGGGTGTGGGTGCGGGTGCGGGACGAGGGTGATGGCGGGGAAGGAGGGAGGGGAGGGGATCGTGGGCGTGGGTGCACTCACCGTCGTCGTCTACGCCTACACCTACGCCTTCCCCCAGCGACCGTGCGTGCGCACCCCACCCTATCGTGGAGGAGGACGAAACGAGAACTTGCTGCATGCTGCAGGTGGACTGTGTCACTGAGGGTGAGGGAGCGTGTGGGTGTGGGTGTGGGGAGGGACGAGCAAGAGGAGCGCGATCCAGATCCATGAGGTCCGCCTGCCCGCCTCCCCGCAGCGAGCGAGCGTGCATGTGCATCCCACCCGGGGATCACCCACCTGCGACACTCTCACTCTCAGACTCACCGAACGAGGCTTGGGGAATTGCGACACTGTCACAAAATTGGTGTCAGTCTGCGGTACGTACACGACTTGCGACACTGTCGCATTTGGTGAGATGTTCAGTTGTTCCTATCTTGTTCTGTCTGCGCGCAAGGCCTTCTGCTTCTACAGGAAGCATCGTTTCATTCACGCAAAAAGTATAGTATTCAACAAGCCGAATATAATTATTGGAAAGAAATGCGGGCCCGGGGGCCAGTACAAAAAATTCTATACTACGCGGCTGCGATACTTAGTATGCGTTATTTTGTTTACTGACAAAGATGAAAGTTAGAATTGGAGTCAGCGCGAGGATAAATGAAAGACGAACCCTCCGGCTTCTCGGTTTTTTGGCTTGAGTTGGGACAGACTCCATGTTCTCCAAGACACGTTTCGACGGATTCCGAAACCGCGACGACGTAACAATATTCCGCTCATCGATGTCCGCATTGAGGTGTTCGATTGGAGGGAGCGTAGTCGTGGGTGGAGAACCAGGCGATGAGGGTGGGAGTGAGAGAGTGGGAAGTTCAGTCTCCCGGGTGTTAATGCTCCCACCACTTGAATGCGGGTCGTTGAAGAGAAAACCCATACCATCGTCGTGTGGAGCGCACGGGTCAAAGAAGTTGACCGATCCCATATCCCAGGCGTCAGAATCGGAAGACGTGGAAGTCGAAAATCCTATGGGATCATGCTCCGTGTTGGCATCTGAACTGCTGGAAAAATCCATGAAGGGGAACGGATTGAAGTCGGGCGCGTAATGAAAGCTGAGAGAATCCGAGTCGTTTGCGTGGTCCTGGTCAGCAGAGAACAAATCGCTCTCCTCAGAAGCGGTGGGGACTTGTGGCGCATTATCTGTCATGAACTGAGCGGTGAACCACGCTAAGTCCATCCCAAACGCCGGCGTTAAATCAGCGACAGTGCGGACGCGAGGGGGATAGCGGGGAACAGCCCCTGGAACTGCAACTCAGGAACTGCAAGTGCAGTTGCGATGTCGGTAGAGGTGTCCTGGAAGATTGGAGCTATCAATGGCGTCAAAATAACTGGGGCCTTCGGGACGCGCCGGGAAGAAAGAACGTGCCCGGAGGACGAGGCCTGCAGGAGCGGCTCCGGTACCACTGCTGTTGTCTTGCCAGTTCCGCGCTTCCGACGGGTTGTCCCCTTCGCCGCGGAGAGCTTCACCTGCGCGTCCTTCACGGCCTGATCCGTTAACTTCTTTGCCGCCTTGGCCTCGTCGTAGTCAGCCTGCAGGCCGTCTGTCTCGTCGCTCTGTTGTGCGGCTGCACGTACTTTGGCGTGGGCGTTGGCAGCGCGTTGGACCTTGCGGCCCATGCGATGGAGCATGTTGTTTGAGTTGTTGTCGAGGATACCCG